CTGATTTTCCTGGTCTAAAGCCACACTCATTAGGTTCAATCAGTATTTCGACGCTGGGCTTCAGTCTTTCACACAACACGCTCAATACGACCTACTATACGATGCTGAGGAGCCTTATGCCAGGGTGTTAGCGCAGATTGTAGCGTCTGTGGATTAGACAGAACAAATTWAATTTCTACCGTTGGGCATGCTTTCGTTCGACCATATTCTACAAAGAAGCTAATGCTTGCTCAGTCTGCGCCGCCGTATTTGAATAACTTGTCCGGCAATCCATCATCCCTCCCGCTTTTTTGTTCTTCAGACGGGTAATTGCTATTCGAACTTCTGCATGGTCGGGCAATGGAACATCTGTTACACTTCATCGATTGAGGAATCGATTTTACCACCACTAATTGTGTTTTCTGCCATTCAGCAGGCTGGAAAAGTATTTTCTCCATTACTTCAGTATGYTCTGGRCATCAGTCACTAGATCACCTCTGGGGATTTTAGAAGAATATAGTCCGGTCTTAAAATTTTCGGTTAGTCGCCGCAGCTTTTCGTATAATTTTCTAGTATTATCTCTGTCGGCCAGCTTGTCAAGCTCTCCATACTTACACGTCGTAATCTTTTTTTCTGCAAAWACGTCTCACWTCCCTCTTCAGCTCTCAGTATCTATCACATTCCGCGTATTCCTTTTGGTATCGTTTGCAGCTGTACGTAAATAGCTTAAAATGCCAATGAATTCATCAACGTGAGCAATACAAATACAATAATAATACTATCACATTTCGATGCGCTTTTTTGAATGCTTAAATTTGTATACCTCTGGCAATGATAATTGTTAACAATGCAGCTTCTTGAGCATATCAGAAAAAAATTTTCTGTTTTGATATTTAAGGTACTGAAATTTGTGATAAATTTGTATATATATAAATAGGTATGTATTTATAACAAATTTTCTTTCCTATATTTAAGTGTATATGTACGTAGACTAAGAATCATGCTTTTCCTTGTACCACGTTTCTCATAAATTAGGCATTATTCTGCCACAATGAAGCATTGCTTGGCTACTTAGTTGGTAAATAATTCAATGGTGCTCCGTAAACAGGAAACGTGACTCAYTTAATCCTTGTTATAAATGAAGAAGCAGCTTTGCTATTAGTTCATGACTTGTGGGTAGTGTTTATACAAGGAACGCTGATGAAAATTTATCTAACAAATCTAACAAAACTACAAAAATATAAAAAAAAAACCTTTGTCATACTTTTATACTATTTCTATTAGTTTGATTTGTTTTGATATTGAGAGTTGTTTTTCTTTGGGACTCATGATGTTTGGCTACTAGAAATACAACCAATCACAAACGGCAGCTTTTAGTAATCTCTTTTTGAATTGGAAGATTGGTCACACTGGAAGATATATCGTCAGAATCAGCTGTATAAAGGATTTGTCATATTTGTTGCTGTAGTGGATGACTTAARAATAAAAAACGGAATTGCTTGGAGGAACTGTTAACGGATAGAGATACTCTCTCTGATACTCTGCTTCACAGAATAAAGTGCTAAAGTGCTTTTTCATTTCATATATTTAATCCTTGTTATCTTTAAGAAATTTGGCATTTCTCTAAGACAATGATGCAATTTTTKAAAAATTTGTTCATATTGCACCACTATRGCATATAGATGCCATACAAACTAAACGAACAAAAACAAGTTTTTATAGYTTCGGTGCAACCGAAGTTAATGATTTYTTCTCGCTTTTTATTTAAAATCATATAAAATTTCTTATATGTTATATTTGACACATTATCTGATTCATAAAAATAGTCAGATACTCACACTCCTCTCTGTGAAYAAGATACATATGTACCCATACTTATTTGTAATATTATATTCTGAATCCCCAAAAATTACACTTCAAACCTCCCTTCTTAGGSGAACGCATCGCTTTATTCAACCAAGTGATTAATTTTCCGTTAAGCGCGTTATAAATTTGTTTTTATGTACTCCTACCCTTGTGGGTCCGCTTCAGCAAAGATGTGCAATTTTTGGAATAKTCARGCGATTTATCAATTTCCTGTCCAATCTCTCATAAATATTTAATTATCGAAGGATATTCGCTGTTATGAAATGATGCTACAAAATTTATGACCCACACTAACACCAGCAACAGGATGAAACATACAGCAACTTCCATTCTTCAATCTACACGCACTTATGCCACACATGTATAAAGCTGTGTGTATATGAATGTGAATATATCTGTAWGTTTGTTCTACGAAGTGAGTGTGTATGTAATTAAATTGTAACCAAAGAGGAAAAAGGCAAACAGGAAGACCGCTTCCCGAAAATTAGATGGATAAAAATATGATGTCTTTAGTCGGCAAATTATTGCAACAAATACGCACAAAAAATATACTGAGTGACATGAAATGAAATTATGGAAGTATGAAATACGATTAAGGAGTTAGCTCGGGTAAAATAAGAAATTTTGTTGTCGTAAAAAAAATTAAATATTTTATTAGAATTTTTTATTGTTACAAAATAAACTTTTTATTTTACGTCGAGTTTTAAAATTGAAAGTGCTCAAAAGACTGCTTGTGCAAGAACTGAAGCCGCTCGACTTTCTGATTTAGAATCATAAAAAAATCGATTTTTTTGAGGATGTCCACTTTATGTTGTTTGAAAATATATT